CAACAGCCTCAAGTTATGGCGTGACAACGGAAAACGGGTTTAATTTTTTTTTATATATAGATGCCATAAAAATCACGTTGTCACTTCATCGCTGTGATTAAGCAGCTCTCTGGCAACAGGAAAATGCGGGGAGATGGTAGGCTTTTCAATGACTGTTAAATTGAAATTCGGCTTGTTTGTTCATTTTATCTAAAGTTAATTGCGAGAAGGAATTCCGTATGAAAACGAATTATGATTGACCAGGCGAACAGAAAAGAGAGCGCAGTGCGCAGTTATGAATGAACGGACTTTGCTCTGTAGACTATGGGCGTTCCTTATGAATGAATTTGTTGCCGTTGTATTATGAAATATTTAGAATATTGCATTCCGCAAGCCTGGTCGATGATGGTGCGACTGCGCTTTTTTTTTGTCGCTTGCGCAAAGGTTTAATTTATTTCAAATGTCATATTGAGGGATATATGTATGTACTTATGCATATGTAAGTATATGCAAATATATTTGTGCATGCGCATGAAAGGCAACTTCGAAAATAATCACATACAAATTGGACATTTGAAACAAATAAAAAATTATAGCTGATTGAGTTCACACATTATACTTTCTATTCAGATAATTGAAATCCTCTTGAAAACACAATTTGTGGATTGTGGAACCAAAGTCGTTCTGACCGACATTGTGTGTTTTCGATGAGTTTTCATTGACAGTTCAGACATCTATTTGTTTACATTTGTTATGTACCCTACAAGAATAGTGACGGTCATCTGATGAGTAATATGACAGTCATAGCTGAAAAAATTTTGTCAGAGCGTAGAACAAAGTTTCTATCATTTTCTTAAGATCCTTGTGCAAAAACTGATGTAAACAAACGTATGTGTGTGAGTTTTCATCTTTCTTTAACACATGGGTATTCGGAATTGATTTACTACAAGTATATATCTATACTGCTCATTCTCATGACTTTTTCGGAGTCATTGCTGACCATAAATCCATCATAGCTGAAAATTGTTATGACTGAAACGCTATCTAAAGTGAAAAATTATTTTGGGCAGTAGATAATATAATTTTTATTTCTTTAATAAATTTCAAACTTTTAATCAAAATTAGTTATAATAATATACTTAAATATAAAAAGGAATACAACAAAAAATATAATAAAATATGAAAATATAAAAATAAATTTTCTCCTCCTCTCAATAGCTCTGCGTACGTCTTTCTCTAATCAGTGGATAGTTCTGATCTTAAAAATGCAAATTTAAATTAACAGTACTGACATATCAAATGTGAGTGTATTGGTGAACCCATCAGCAGTTTATTGTAGAGTACGTTTAGGCCAATTATGGAATGTAAACAAATTGTCAACTAACATTTAGGGCTGGCAAAATATGTCTTCTAATAATATCGAATAAACTAGAGCAGGCGCCGATTATAATGAGTGGAATGTAAGTTTTCAAGGGGTTTTCAGCGAAAACTGTGTTTCCGTTTGACAGATTTTGTATGGATGAAAACACAAATTTTCGCGTGAAATTCTCTTTTGTCTATGAAAACACGAATTTTGTGTCGGTGCGAACATAGTATAAGTTCAAATCCTATCACAGATATTTTTATACTCTCGCAACATGTTGCTACAGAGTATAATAGTTTTGTTCACCTAACGGTTGTTTGTATCACTTAAAACTAATCGAGTTAGATATAGGGTTATATATGTATATATAAATGATCAAGATCAGGATATATAGATCATCTGGTATACAGGATCAAATTAGGGAGTGGCATGTGCAGTTTAACAATTTTTAAAAAGTGGGCGTGGTCCCGCTCCTAATAGGTTTAATGTGCATATCTCCTAAACCACTAAAGCTATAATAAGAAAATTCACTGGGAACAAATGTTTTTAGCACCTCTATCGACAGTGTTAAATCGGGTGACAACCCCGTCCACTCCCCATATAACAGTACGATTAAACGCGCCAGAGATATTAAATTGCATCTCTGGTATACGATGACTTTATAGGAACCACGTTCAAAATTAGACAGTGAGCGTGGCACCGCTAACTTTTAGGTGAAAACCCATATACATAACATTCTATTCGTATTTCTATGTTATAGTGCAAAAATGGGTGAAATTGGATTACAACCACGCCTATTTCCCATATGACACCATTTTAAATTCCATCTGATTCTTTCAATTTCCACTATACAAATCAAGCAAATAATTGTATCGGGGTAAAACTTTGAGTGAATAATGCGTTTAAAGTATGCCACCTTGTGTCCAAAAATTGTCTAAATCGAACCAAAACTGTTCAAGCCCTTAGGTACTGAATATGTGGACCCCAGTGCCTAAAACTGACTTATTACCGAAACTATCGGTCAATGTGTTAGATATATAATTGAAATTCATATAATAAATCGTGTTGTCATTTAATAACTGTGGCAACAGTTCTTACTCCTAATTATTTAAATATATAAAGAAATCTCAAACGAGTATACCATTTGACTTTTTGACGAGAGTATAATATGGGTTACGTCCGAACTTAGCCCTTCCTTAATTTTTTTAATTTTTTTTTTTAATTTCATAAACTTTTTTTTAATAAGTGATATTTTAATTCAGTTTTCACTATTATTTCCCTCGTCATATACATTTTCTTCCCATAAGTCAATTCCTTTTCTTTTTGTTATTTTAACTCTCAAATTGCATTTAAATTGTAAACAAAGAAGGAAAAACATTTGTTAAACCATGAAATAACCTTAATTTATGGTTAAAAGGCTTAAGTGAGATTAATAGAATAATACTGCGGGGCAATATTTGAGCCAGTCTTGAATCAATACTTTTATCTATTGACAACATAATTGAAAATTAAGTGGATGATTGAGATGGGTTGTGATTGCGATGTATCCAGAGTATTTTCTTTTACTTGTACACTAATACGTACTATATCACCACTGTACAATGTAAAAAACTATTGGCAGAAACATCGTAATCACAACGCGCTTTAATCATTCACTTCATTTGCAATAGGTTGGCGATAAGTTGAAAATATTTATTTACATATTGTACAAAATATATCTCCAATTTAATTTCATAATCGTCTCACTATAATTTAATAAAAATACATCAGAACTGTCCATATGAATAAAAGGAATGTAATACAATAACTTTTTTTTTGAAACGGTACTTTTCGTTAATTGCATATTTTTTTTCTTTTCCTCACCGCCTCTTAGGTTGCAATGTAGGGGTGTTACCGATCTTATTTGGGTGTTTGGTTCCCCAGGCGACTATTTTCAGCCATTATTATAGACAATTCTAAATCAATCTACTTAAAATAATTTAGATAAATATTTTAATTTAAAATTTATTAAGAAATATATAAAAATCTGGTACAATTCAGGCACACTAATAATAATAATCAAAATAATCTATTAAGCAACCACAGAACAACTAATAACAGGCTTTAGAATCTGACTCCTCCATATGTTGTGTTTGAAGGATTTATATTAATAAACGGTACCACATGAGATAAAATTATTAAGTCGTTTATTTATTAAGATATGTCATTGACACACAACTTGTCCGTCTGGACTCTCTACACGTTCTGACTCAGCCTTGATGTTCGTCTTAACACAAGCCGTGTTGAGCGCCATCTACACAATTAACTTTCTATTACAACACCATCGTTGCATATGAAGATGTTAAAGAGCATCAACATTATTTGTGATGCGTGATTTTCTCTGTCGTTGCGCCTCGACTGCCGGTTTAATGCGTTTCAAAACATGATGCAATGTCAACATACATACAGAACAGTATACTTTGTCCTATGCATTGCAATTGACGTTTTCGAAGACAGCCTTTATTAAACTAAAATTTCTGGCAAAAGAGACGGGGTGACGGCCGTTTGTTTGTTTTAAATACTAGAAACACCAGATCTCACTAAACTAACATCCCAATAATATAATATTATCTGCGTTATTCGCGGAAGCAATTTTCCATGAAGAACCCAATTTGCGGAATAACTGGAAGGTAATATTACTGTTTATAATGGTGCCTATTTTAGAAACCAAAAATAAAAGGACGCCATAGGCTAATTCTCAAAGTCATACCATTATTTTGTCTTCTGCCGCTACAACAACAACAACACGAAATTAAAAATACGGCTAACAATATGAAGTCAGGCTTATCATGTTGTGCACTAATATAAATTATGTGATCGTGTTATTGTTAATAATTGTAAACTTATTGTGAATCCAAGTAGTATGAATAAACTATTTGACAGTCCTCAATTATGTGATCACCTCTGTATTGCAATGGTTTAATATGTCTTATCGATATTTCCCTTCTCGGAAGAGTAACGATATCAATGGCGCAGTTATATAAAATTGCTTAGTGTTTAATGTTCGCTTATGACGTTAAACTATTTCTTACAGTGCATCGTTAGAATTAATTAACCTGCTGACATCATCGATAAACAATAAATTGTAATTGAGAGAGACAATGTATAGTGTGAAGAACATGGATGCCAGAACAAAGTCGAATTGACGAAAAATTCCCAGAATTGACTAAACAACGAAATTCGTAGTTGTCAGAATGTTTGAGTAGCGAAGTTTTGTTACTGATCTACTATATAAGGGCTTCCAGATTGTGCAGCAGACACAAATCTATTCAGAGTGTTGCCGTGTAAGGATCAAATGAAATATAAGCAAGAAGTTGTAAGCTCGGATAATAAGTAACAAAGCGTTAAGTTGTTGGATTAGGAATAAAGTTAAAATAATTTGGGACTTTTATATAACAATCAAGTGATCGAACTCAAGATTAAGTTTCAAAGTAGACAATTTATCGAGAAATCCGTTACAATTGCTATATCAATGGGTGCTAGGTAATATACAAGGAAAAAACTTATCTTTGCTTGTAGACACTGATAAGTAGATAAGGAATACTAAGATATATTGATTATGTATACACCGATAACTATATATGTATATAACTATATACAAATTACATACAATTTTCAGAAAATTTAAACTCCACAAGAAGTCGTCTAAATGTCACAATGAAACCCCTTTGCCTGCAGTTTCTATATTAAAACCACTAATGGGCATCGATCCGAACTTGGAACACAACCTTGAATCATTTTTTACAATGGATTACCCAGTGGTATGTTTAATTAATATATTTATGATAATATCTCTCAATTTGTTTTTGTTTTAGTATGAGTTATTATTTTGTATTGAAGATAGTGTGGACCCCGCTGTAAGTACTGTGCATAGCTTAATGACTAAGTATCCACAAGTGGATGCTACTTTGTACATGGGTGGTTCAACGGTTGGTGTTAATCCAAAAATTAATAATATGCAGCCAGGTTATGCGGCCGCCAAACATGAACTGATCATGATTTCGGACAGTGGTATTAAAAGTAAATTACTTGTAGTATAACCAATCAAACCATGTACATGATTTTGTTTTGTCTAATTTTTGTTACAGTGAAGAACGATACTCTTTTAGATATGGTAAACAACATGACAGAGAAATATGCACTTGTGCATCAAATGCCATTTACATGTGATCGCGAAGGATTTGCTGCCACATTTGAGAAGGTATTAATTCTTTAGCTATTTCATATATTAACCTATATTTTAGTATTAAGACACGTATACATGCATATTGTCGGTTTATATGGGTCTTAAAAGAATATGAACATCATTATTTGTTTTAAAGCTAATTTCGATATAAAATATTCCTGAATGCTTGAATTATGTATTATAAAGAGAATGAGTTAGTTGGAATTTAAAATGGTATTGTGCGGAAATAGACGCGTCCGTCCGTGGTTCGCCTTTTCAAAATAATCTGCAAAAACAGTTAGATTACAGCGTTCAAATAGTTGTTGAGGAATGAAATTTTATTTAAAAGTTCGACGTTTGAAATGATTCATATGTCAGCCTGTTATATTGTAATTAATAATAAGAAGCCAGTGATTACCTTTCTCCCGCCCAAGAGACGTGAGGGTCGCAATCCTCATACGTGTGGAATAAGCCGAGACATAAGAGGCAGAATAGATCTAAAATTACTCAGACACAGAAACAAAAATCTCACCAGCTAAAACTTAAAATTACACTTTAATAAATGTTTAAGGTTTTATTTATTAAGGAAAATAATTTAGTTTTTTCAATGTTGAAAAGTGAGTCAGATAGAACTACAAAGTGCTCAATAAAGGAGTTTCACTATTAATATTGTGCCAGGTATTATTGCCCTACGAATGTACAATGTAGAAAGATTTTAAAGTTATAAACAACTAGTGTCGACTTAATCTAGAATTCCAGTCCGGAAATACTCTAAGGCAAAAGTAAAAGTTGTTTTGAACATTGATATACTCGTCAGAATTGATTCGGTAACAAGGATCTCATACCACAGAGACGTATTCCAATATAGGGTCTGCATATAATAAAATTGTTGAGTAGTCTATTACATGAGAAATACCGTTAATAATTAACGGGAACAAGTAAGGAAGTGCTAGGTTCGGATGTAACCGAACATTTTATACTCTTGCAGCTTTCAAGGATCAAATCCGGAGAAATACCTTCAGGTATTGGCAATATTAAAAAGCCAATTTCATTTATATTGAGCGCTAAACCATTAATATAACTTTATAACTTATAAGAAAACGTGTCCACTTAATTTTGTTAAAATATCTCACAACTAACTAAACGAACCACCTGACTAACCTAAACGAAGTCAGGTGGAACGTCGGAAATCATTACGTAGGGTATATTAGGGTAGGAAGGACTGATTGCATTAGTGCTTGAGAGCTTATTTTTAAAAAATTTTATACACATATAAATATAAACATATATATGGAGGTTAAAACAAGTTTTCGCTTGGTTTTATTCATTTTAGGCACAAATATACACTATTATTAAAAAAACAAGAATTGCCAATTTCATGTTTTAAGTTGTCTGTACAAGAGCCAAAGTCTAACTATTTCCGCAGTATGCTTCGGGTCATTATCTTGTTGGAACCAAAACGTCGAAGATAATCTAAGACTCTCTGCACTTTGTTTCAAATTGTTTTTTAAAATGTTCAAATAACCCTATCCATTGTGGATTCAATAAATTCAAGCTGACCCACACCACCAGCCGCCATGCAACCCCACACCATAATTCCGCCACCTCCCTGCCTATGTTTACTTGTTCTTACACTAAAACCCCGTTATCAGAAAAATGAAAAGAGTAATATACATTTTTGTTTTTAAAATTTGAATTTAAGAACATAAAGAAGAAATACATGTACAAAATTTGAACTGAAGTACATATTTCCATTGTGTTATTACTTCGTTTGAATGTTTAGAAATAGTGTTAAAAATTTCAAAAGGATCGATGCAGTAGTTTTGAAGTTATGAGAACCACTTTGAAAACGTGAGTTGTGGGGAAAACACTTCTTGTTTTTTTTTGAAATCTGATGTAAAACGTTCACAAGACAGATATAAAAAGACTTATACTCAAATATTTTGCTCCAATCGACTTAAAATTTAGACACAACATTTTTGAGATATTATTCATATAAAACAAAAAAATTCGAAAAAATTTTAAAACTTTACTCCGTATTCAAACCAAACAGTTTTTCAAACAATAGAATATATAGATATTCAAAAAACAACATGCGACATAGGTATGAATAAAGGTAAAAAAACTAAACAAATACAAATAGAAAAAAATAATTCAAAAACAATATTTGCACACACTAACAAATTGCAATGGTTACATAAATTAACGTAGCAACAATACACTATGAAAAATGACTCATCACATAAGACAATTAAATTTAAGAGCACAAATATACTGAGCTCTCAAATGGATCACGGATAAAACTCGCCTATGAAAACTGTTTAAATTAAATAAAACTAAAAATTCACAGAACCATAACTTTTTGAACTTTAATGCTTGAAGTGTTGCAAGACAATCACCACACGTTTTATAATGTAGACCATTACTTTTAAAACCTTACAATCCCTTTGCGAGGTATCACACTTGTGAACAGATTTTATTTTGAACAATACTGACACGCGAGCCTGAAATAATCCAAGAGACTGATCGCTGACAGATTTAAAATATTCTGTTTTTATTTATTTCAAATTGCTGTTAAATAATAAGAAATATTAAATTGTCGTTGAAGCCTAAGAATAAACACAATTTTCCACAATTATTGCTTTTAACTCATAAACCGAGATATTAAGAGGGTTCCCTATACGTGTTAAGTTAGATTGGATGTAGATGTGTACATTTTCACATAAAAGCTAAATAGCTGAGTCGATTTAGCCATGTTCGTCTGTCTGTCCATCTGTATACACGCGATCTGAAATTTTGCAGACGTCCTTTTCTCCTCAAGGAAAACCGTCGATATCTGCCACTATATTATATAGCTGCCATACAAACTAACGTTCGAAATCAAGTTCTTATTTAGAAAACATTTTTTTTAATAAGATATCTCTACGAAATTTGGCATGGTATATACAATCTCCGAACAAATAGTTCAAATCGAACCACGATAGTATATAGCTGCTATATAAACTGACCGATCAAAATCAAGTTCTTGTACTGTTAACTTCTTTATTTGTGAAGGATATTATGACTTCGGTGAAACAGAAGTAAACTTTTTTTCTGGTTTTAAATTTTTTTTTCAGTTTTTTAATATATTAAAGTTATTTATAAGTAACATTGTGTATTAAATTTATAAAAAGTGTAAACCATTAATAACTTAACAACTAACAGTATTCGGAAGATAATATTACAAAATGTCTATAGATTCATCATAGTCCACAACACCGATTTCAAGTCGTCATCAATGTTAAAATATTGGCAAAGAGTTGCCAGGTATCGTAATTGTATATAGATATTTGCTGGAGCAGAATGTAATTGTATATAGATATGTTTGCTGGAGCAGAATGTAATTTAATGCCAAAAAATTTATGAAATGTTAAAGACCTTTCCTATCCTCTTATCTGCGGAATATAATGATGCGGTATAATAAATAAAACTGACAGTTATTCAAACATTCAAAATAATGAAGGATTTTCCTTTCCAGATTTTTTTTGGTACGGTTCAATCTCGCATATATCTATCCGCTGATTTATTGGGCATCAATTGTCACACTGGAATGTCATGCTTGTTACGCAAATCTGTGATTGAGGAACTCGGTGGTTTAAGAGCATTTGGTTGCTACTTAGCTGAGGATTTCTTTATTGCTAAAGCAATAAGAGACAAAGGTTGGAAAATGCGCATAAGTAATCAACCTGCAATGCAAAATAGTGGTATTTGTGATATAAGTAGTTTTCAAGAACGGCTCATACGATGGGCGAAACTACGCGTAGCTATGGTTCCGACAACAATACTTCTTGAACCTCTCTCTGAGTGTATGGTGTTGGGTGCTTTGGCATCATGGTCTGCGGCGATACTATTCAATTGGGATCCGTTAGTATTTTACTTAGTACATGTACTGACATGGTTTTTATCCGACTGGATATTACTTTCTATTGTACAGGTTAGATTTATATATTTAGAGGTTAAGATTTTATATATTTTATAACTAACACTTACATTCCATTGTATACATTTTAGAATGGATCATTATCGTTCCATAAGTTTGAATTTGTTGTTGGTTGGCTTTTCAGGGAAATAAGTGGGCCTTATCTGTTCCTGCATGCGCTTTGGAATCCAGCAATAAGGTGGCGTAGACGAACTTATAAGCTGCAATGGGGTGGAATAGCGTATGAGTTGCCGACAGGCAATGTAAATTTGAGTACAAAACGTTTACTAGTATCATAGCATAAGTTAACAAAACAGAGTTATCCACATTTAAAATCAAAGTTAGTGTTTCTGTTATTGGTTTTTGTTTAGGAATATTCAATTATTTTAAGGCAGGGTGTATATTTCTTCAACTTATCTTGTATTCCAGAGAGTGTGCTATATATGCATATGTAGACTAGTTGTAATTGTCAATATTTTTTATAATAATTAAATGTACCTTAAAAATAAAGCATATCTTTCTTTACGATTTTTCTTAATAATAACTTATAATTTTATAGTTTAGGTTGGAAATTTCACCCTCAGCTGACATAAATATACGATTTTACGAAGAAATAATTTTTACTTTTAATTTCATTAAAATACTAGTAAGAAAAAAATATACAGGAAGAATTATATACTTCAATTTTAAGATCAAGTTTTGTATTAAACATTTGTAATAAAAATATGATATATTGCTACAGCTATTTTCGAGTTATTTTTTACAGTATCTCCTTCGCCAATGACGCACAGAGTGTGAACTACTCGCATTACAATTTTTAATAATGCAAATATACTATATTTAATAATAATAGTAACCTTCTACTCTGAAATTTATTACAGTTTTAGTGAAAAAAGATCTTTCTAAAAATTTGAACTATGTGTTGTAACAATACGAGCAGAATGATGAACCCACTGCTCTGAAGGGTCACAAGTTACCGGCACTTTGATAACCCTTCGTCGCTATATACCTACACACATTGTAAGTCTAAAATCGTATTAAATGATGATCCCACAACAGTCGGGTCTACGTAACCGGAACGGACCCGGATTTTTATCCAAAACATATTACATTACGTTAATATTATCATAATAGGGTTTGTATAGAGTTAATTCGTTGTAATTTATTATTAGACTATTGATTGGATTAAAGTGACATTAGCGAAAGCTTTCTACTAAATAGTGAAACTGCAGAGATGTTATGCTGACCGACGTAAAATTTTATATCGAGTGTAATTCAAATAAAGCAAAGGTAAAGTGCCAAGGATTAGTGCCGATGTGACAGTTTTAAGCTAGTTTACATTCAACTTTCGCTTCGCTTTGCTTCAGACTTAACTGTGACACATAACTTTGACAGATGTTTTTGTAGCGTTGGACAACTTACATCTATTTATTCTTTGAGATTTATATTCCCATGTCAAAGTTTAAATCATTACCCTTGAATATGCCATTCCATGTTTGGTTTGTTTTACTCTTCACTAACATAATTCTTTTTATCAGAAATTTAGTATTTGCCGCGACATGTGGCTCTGTCAAATTCCTTTAATTGTCATTTTTCAAATAAAACCAGAGCGTAGCGATGAGGATGTATGAGAAATCTCAGTTCAAAAAGATAAATTTACAACTTCTATCACAGCGTTTTGCGTTTATTACAACAAATCCAGAGTTGCTTCTTTCTACGGTACTTAATACGCGCTTTAAACGCAAATATTTTCCAATTGAAGAAATTAATAGGTGCGCAACCATATTAAAAGAACAATTAAGTTTATTTTACGAAGATAATCGAATACGAACTGTACCACAAAGAAACCAAAAAGTTTCACAATAATACCCTTTGTGCCTTTCACGGTTGCTATATGAGACAAAATCTCCCAAGTGTACCTGCATTTTTTTGGTGGTCGAGCTTTTCTCGTACAATAAACGTTTTTTAGTTCTAAACGATAAATAAAAAATACTATTGTACTTTCATGATTTTTTGAATTCGAAAAATTTCGAGAGTTATTCTGCCCTATTCCCGTTGTCGTTTTCGTTTTTAAACGAAATAAGTACGGTTATGTGGCATTCCTGTTGGCGTTATCGACATTTATCGAAAATAAATTGGTATTTCCCAGCTTAAAACGACTATGATAATGACACATCTTTGTCGTTGTAATAATTGAGAGCGAGATAGAAACGAGGGCGATTATTTGAAGTGAGTGTGAATAATTACTCGAAAAAGTCCTGCATATGCCAAAGACTTAAGAAAAGGGACAAAACCATTGAATTTCGATAAATTTGGGAGGGATATTTCGAAAAAACTTAATGCACTTACATGTCTCGACGGAGACGGTAGCCATAAATTAAATGAAATTTGTAAAATTTCATTTTTATAACTATGAGGGTGTTTAACATTTATGTATGTATATGTGTATTTAAGTTAAATATAAAAATTGTATACAACAAATCCGAAGATAGAGCCACAGGAAGAGGAGTTAGTATTGTTATTATTATTACTATTGTTATCATTATTACTATTGTTATTATTATTATTATTATTACTATTGTTATTATTATTATTATTGTTATTATTATTATTATTATTATTATTGCCTTATTTATTATGTACTTAAATTCGCAAAATGGCTCCAATTTTTTCTTTAAAACAACAAAAAAACAAGTTAGATACATTGGCGCTATTGGGCGTTATTAAACTTTCTTATTTTTAATTTAAAGTTTAAACAATTTGTCTTTGGCGTTACGATATACTTCAAGAATACGAATTTAGAAACAAAGCGACGATAACAACGACAACAACTTGGAAACGACATCAACAACGAGAAGAAAGCCGATTGTTATTAATATTTTTTTGCACGATCTTGGATCTTGGAATAAATATTTATTTTGTTGTTCATGTTTTTCTCTTAAGTTGCAGTGCACGGCGCGCGGATCGCCAAGATTAAATTCTTGTTATAGTCTTTAATATAGGAAAAATCTCAAGTGTGTGATAAAGAATATTAGTTTAGTTATTATTATAGTATAAATTAGAATGCGAAATTCAAAGCTTCGTGGTGCAATTTATGTGCAGGTCATGTCAAGTACAAATCAATCGAGCCCCCAGTGTCAGCATATTTGGAAGTGTTTAGTAAATTAAAAATACTGAATAAAGTATACTAAAGTTTACAATGAGTTCCGCTATTTTAGCTTTTATTTTATTGGATAAAAAAAGAAACGAAAAATGAAGAGGAAGATATTAAAAGATCACAGTAATCCACGTGATATACCAGGGGAATATCATGTGAAATTTGGCTTGGCATTTACTTGTATGCTTATCTACATGCTTACTTTACGGATTTATATCACATTATCCACTGAATAAAGTCGTATTTAGGTGTTAAATTATGTTTTGTAAATCCTCTTAAACTATTTGTATTTTTTCCATAAACTCAATAATTATGACATTTTGTATTTTATTCTTATGTTTTTTCCTATAGAAATAAAGATAAATTAAATCTTAATAATATAAATTACTTTCTTTACTTACATTTCAAATCTGTCAGCGACTTTCGTCTTGTTTCTGATAACAAAACCGATATAATTGGTTTCTGTGACACCCAAACCGATACAATTTCTGTTTCAAATGTCAAACCAATAATATCTGACTTCAGGTCACCTACTACATTTTTTCATTGGTTCCAATTCTGTTCTCGTGTTTTGTTTATCAGATTCTACAACACCCAAAACACACCAACAACACATCAAAATGCTATTTTTATACTCTCGCAACCTGCTGCTACAGAGTATAATAGTTTTGTTCACCTAACGGTTGTTTGTATCACCTAAAACTAATCGAGTTAGATATAGGATTATATATATATAAATGATCAGATGAAGAGACGAGTTGAAATCCGGGTAACTGTCTGTCCGTCTGTCCGTCCGACCGTGCAAGCTCTAACTTGAGTAAAAATTGAGATATCTTTATGAAACTTGGTAGACATGTTTCTTGGTACCGTAAGACGGTTGGTATTGCAGATGGGCGTAATCGGACCACTGCCACGCCCACAAAACGCCATTAATCAAAAACAAATAAATTGCCATAACTAAGCTCCGCATTAAGAAACAAGACTGATATTTGGTACACAGGATCACATTAGGGATGGGCATCTGCAGTTAAATTTTTCTTTTTAAGTGGGCGTGGTCCCACCCCTAATAGGTTTAATGTGCATATCTCCTAAACCGCTAAAGCTATAATAACAAAATTCACTGGAAGCAAATGTTTTTAGAACCTCTATCTACAGTGTGAAAATATTTGAAATCGGGTGGCAACTTCGCCCACTCCCCATATAACGGTACTGTTAAAAACTACTAAAAGCGAGATAAATCAAGCACGAAACACGCCAGAGACAGTAAATTTTATCTCTGGGATGGTATGAGATAACTTTATAGGAACCGCGTTCAAAATTATACAGTGGGCGTGGCACCGCCCACTTTTAGGTGAAAACCCATATCTTGGGAACTGCTTAACCGATTTCAACCAAGTTCGGTGTGTAACCTGTGTATATTTCTATGTCATAGTGCGAAAATGGGCGAAATCGGACTACAACCACGCCTATTTCCCATATGACACCATTTTCAATTCCATCTGATTCTTTCACTTTCCACTATGCATATCAAGCATCAATGATTATATCGGGGTAAAACTTTGCTTGAATAATACGTTTAAAGTATGCCACCTTGTGACCAAAAATTGTCTAAATCGAACCAAAACTGTTCAAGCCCCTAAGTACTAATTATGTGGACCCCAGTGCCTATAGGTGACCTTCTACCGAAAATATCAGTCACTCCACAACGAGTACACCATTTGACTTTGCGAGAATATAAAATGTTCGGTTACATCCGAATCCCTTCCTTACTTGTTAATAATCACATCATGGAATTTTTATGGTCACAATTCGAAACTATTAAGGTAAACAAAATCAAAGCAAATTAGTCAAACCTCGCTTGTTTACACATGTGTTTTAAAAGCTGTTTCTACATATAGTAGTATCTTTTGGTAGTAGAAATATCACTAGCAGAAACAGAGTTGAGAAACGCTGAAACTTTGCTAGCTGGTGATAGTTAGCAGTTAAGATTTTTGTATTGCAGGACAATCGGGTACGCACAATGTATGCGTGTGTAAGACACAAGAAAACATGAGACTGAAATTCGTTGCGATTAAACAAAAATTAAGAAAGTAAAATAAATATCGTGATATTTTCAAGATATGCTTTGCGAAACTCTTAACTCTTGACTGTTTTCTTTCAAATTGTGACAACTGCCCTGGACCAAATACTATTTATAATAAATTAAAGCTCTTACTTGAGAACATTGGAGTAACACAAATAAGAAGAACCCATACCATCAATTTCAAGCGAGAGTCGACCGAGAAGAGGATCAAATGAAACAATTACCTATGAACGTTTGGCGTCTAGGTATGATGCAACAGTCGATTACGTCGTGATTGGGATAACCTTAGCGTATTAGTGCATCGTTTCTATGATGCATTACAATACCTCTTACTATTTTCCAGAGGAGAAGACGGATATCATTTCATGATCA